TTAAAATTTTAAAAAAAATAGACTTTATTAGATAAGAAAGTTAAAAAAAAGAAAACAAATTTTGTTTAGAAGAAAAAAAAAGTGTGAAAATTTACTCAAATAAAGTGTGAAAAAGTTATCAAGATTAATACAACTACAACTTTGCAAATGAATTTATATAAAAAATAAAAAACAAATATAAAATATTAAAAAAAAAGTAATAAAACTTGAGTTAAATTCTCTAACTAAAATAAAGAAAATTAAAATTCTCTATATAAAAGAATATTACAAGAAAATTTTGTACGCAGTTTAAAAATTAACGTCGTTTTAAAAACAACTTACAAAATTTAAATAACTTATTTAAAATAATAAGAAAAAAAAACATTTTGTGCTTAAAAAACTTAAAAAATAAAAAAATCCTTCAAAACGGCTGCTTTAAACTTATTAAAACAAAACAGATTTTGTTTTTTAAAAAACATCATTATTTGATATTGTTAACGATAAATGGAGAAAATTGAACAACAATTTCATATGAGTTCTTCCTTCTTCCTCCATGAGTATCCTGAGAGTTTTATGTGCCTGATCAACAAGATGCTGTTAAAAGTTGAGAATACTCTATTGCGTAGTCATCGTCAGCGAGAGACCACCGGTATTAAGAAACTCTACAATTCGTTTTTTGTATTGTTTTAATTGGTTTGTGGTAAAAACAAATTTACACCCGTCTCTTTGTTGCCGGTCATAAGAAATAATTTGTATTAAACTTTAAACGTATAATCATTATAAAAATATAAAATAAATATAAAACTTAACAAAACTAAACAGAAAAGAAAGAAAAATATAACTTAAAACCTAAATAAAAGTTAAAAAAAAAAGTTCGATAAAAAAAAAACTTCCTTATCGAATTATAGAAAAATTGTGAAAAATTATCTTGTAAGTTTGTTAGTTGAAAATGTAAATTTAATAACAACTATTAAACAAAATATTAAAGAAAACGCCTTTTAGAAAAGTTACTGTGCTTCTTTTGTTGTATAAAATTGCCGCTTCAAACTTAATCCTTGGAAAAAATTCTCTTTCTAACTTAAAATCTAAAGAGCCTTTTTTAAAGTGCTCTAAGATTGTGTTTCATCAAACGAATGGCTCTATCGCTGGTTGCTTCCCTGCCACATCATCAATCCAGTTATTTTGATATACAATCTTTTTTGGATCCTTATTCTTTGGAAACTCATAACGACACTCAAACCTCTTCGAATTATATGAGTGCAAATCAATCGTTTAATCAACAGCAGCACCAGCGTTCTACGAAAATTCTTTTAAACAATTACCACAACACCGATTTAATGGAGTTTAACAATAGTTCTAATAATCTACAACCAACTTCAGCACTACAGCAGCAGAATAATAGTCAGTTAACAACAAATATTGCACAGGTAAGTGTGAATACTTATTCTGTATAGGATTTAAAGGTTTTGAATAGTTTAATTTAGAAATTTTTGAAAACAAGAAAGATTTTCTGTAGATATCATAAAGTTTATTGGATGGATCAATCCGACTCTACACAGAGGGAAAAAGAAATATAGACGCCTAGTACCAAATTGACACCAAAGTGTTTAGAATTTTTCAATAACATCCGTTGTCAAAGTATATACATACGTACGACAACACTATGTAATGTTGACAACGCAACGTTGTCAACATTGCAACAATTCGTTGTCGAAATCTTAATTTTATTCACATCCGTTGTCTACATGTTAACAAACGTTGTAAGATCACTATTGGCAACGGATTGTTTGTCAATAGTGAGCATATCACGTTTGTTAACGTTTAGACAACGGATTTGTATAAAATTTAGATTTCGACAACGAATTGTTACAATGTTGTCACCATTATTAGATATTGTTGTCGTACGCATGTATACTTTGATAACGTATGTTATTGAAAAATTATAAAACAGTTTGGTGTCGACCAGGTGTGTATATTTATTTTTCCCTCTATGTAGTTTAGTTTATGTTAGGTTCGCATGCTGCTCAAGTTCTGTCATCACAGGATATAAACATAAGTCCATTACAGACCCAGTTATAGGGATCCAACCATTTAAAGTATATGTGTATATTCTGGCCAATTCATCTGCGATCTCATTACCCTATGACAGTGTTTACTAGAGTTTTTCCTTTTCGAACTCCTTAACCGTATTCTCATATCCAACAGGATTCGGATCTTTTTACGGCTGGAATATTTTCTCATTAACGACCTTGCAGATCACGCGTTAGAGTTGGTAACTTGTATAGAGGATAAGACTCAGAAAGAAAGATTATATTGATATCGCGAAATTTCCGATAAGGTAGTTTTTACTAATGATCTTCATAGATATTATTTTATATTCAACTAACACTACCCGGCATGTTTCAATATTGTAGAAAGTTCCCTGTTATATATAACCATTTCATCAGGATGTAGTGTGTTTAAAAGAAACTCAAAAAGTACCATTTAAATAACGAAAAAGTACCAAAAACCATTAATTTCTATGAAGTACCAGCTGAAGAACGAAAAGTACATAATATTTCTAGGTTCAATAGGTCTAGGTCCAAGAAAGAACAAGTAGGAGTTCTATATTAGGCTGTGCCGAATCGTATCTACTCTTCACAGTGATGTGTTAAAAAATACTCAGTAAAAAATTATTACAAAAAAAATCAAAAAATACCAGTTGTATATTTTGAAAAACGAAAAAGTATCAGGGCTCTACATGTTTAATTTCATGTTTCTAGGTTCCATATTATTGAAAATTCAAAAAGTAGCTTTTGAAGACCGAAAGAGTACCAAAAAGTCCTCTTTTACATGTTCGCACTTACTCTGGGCTCTACATGCTTAATTTAATGTTTCTAGCTTCAATATTATAGTAAATAAAAAAGTACATTTTGAAGAACGAAAAAGTACCAAAAAGTCCCTTTTTACAAGTTCTTAATTTCATGTTTCTAGGTTCCATATTATTGAAAATTCAAAAAGTACCTTTTGAAGACCGAAAAAGTACCAAAAACCTTTTGTAGAACGAAAAAGTACCAAAAAGTCCCTTTTTATGTGTTCTGACCTAATCCGGGCTCTACAAACCTAATTTCATGTTTCTAGGTTGAATATTATAAAGTTCAAAAAGTACCTTTTGTAGAACGAAAATGTACCAAAAAGTTCCCTTTTATAGGTTCTTACCTAGTCAAGGCCCTACATGTTAAATTTCATGTTTCTAGGTTCAATATAATAGAAAATTCAAAAAGTACCTTTTTTGAACGAAAAAATACCACAAAAGTCCCCTTTTATGTGTTCTTGCCTAATCCGGGCTATACATACTTAATTTCATATTTCTAGGTTAAATATTATAGAAAATTTAAAAAGTACCATTTGTAGAAAGAAAAAGTGCCAAAAAATAGTACATGTAACGGGAGTTTCAAATAACACTTCATTATCATATTTAGTGTTACTAAAACTACCAATTTTTAAAATTTTATCAAAATTGGCTCAATGAGTTGAAATAAAATAAAATTTTCCATTTTTCGCCCCCTTTTGGTACATTTTTCCTCCCTTTTAAAGTAATAATAATTTTACTCTAAGAAGTTACAGTATAGTAGTGAAAGCCCATTATTGTATATTCATATTTATAAGTCAGGAAATAGAAAACAATGTTTGATGAAAAAATTAACAAAAATAAGTACAATTTTTATCCCTTAAACGGTCGTCGAATATCGCAAAAGTACTAAATTTGTATTTTTGTATTTTTTCGATAGATTATGAATGAATTAAAAATGTTATTTCTGACATGGGATAAGTATTATTTTATAGTTTTATTGTACATTTTTTAGTTTAGGAGATATGAGGGTTCCCCCTAAGCATTCGATTTTTGAAATATCCTGTTTTAGAGATTTAGTATTTGCCGGAAGACCAAATTTCTAGCTTCAACCGTTTAGGCTGTGGGATGATGAATCAGTCAGTTAATGAGTCAGTAACGTTAGAATTTTATGTATATATGTAGAGAACCATTATAAACAGAATCATTTCCGATTCTTGAATAGCAATCTTGGAACTAGATACATATATAGCTATTAAAAACGGTTCATAAGAAGGTGTATTTGTTATCTAATTATTTCTTAGAAACTAGCTCCCGAAAGTGATAATTGGCTCCAGGAACGGATAATAATAGATCAGATTTTGAGAAATATATTAACAAGGTTTATGTTTATTTATGTATATCTTAAATACATCCGTAATTACTTAAATAGGACTTTTGACCGGTATGTCTAGGAAAATTTTTTTAAAGGGACCTAGTTAATGTAGCTTTCATACAACCGAGAAACGCCACTCTTAAAACCCGAAATGGGAGGGCTGCTGGCACTAATAACTGTAGATAGACATGAAAGTCGTCCTTGGATCCCTTTCGACGAATTTTGTGACAGTTGCAATGACACTGATAATGAAGAAACTGTTTCCACATTCTCTGTAAATGGCCTACTCTAGCTGTCAAAAGAATAGATTCCTTAGCAAATACATTATAATGTATTATCTACGCCTAGACTCTCACTGCTATAGCACATCAGTATATATTACGGCAGTAAAGTAATGACTGTAGACTGGGTGGATGACAGACATAAAAGTCGGCTTTGAAAGAAGAAAGAGAAAACTGTTTTACACCACCTTGATGGTGAATTAACTGCTCCCAGATTATCACTGCTAATACCACATTAGTATATATTTGATTTGATTGATTAATAATACCGGTAAATATTTTTATAACATAAAATCGCAGCACGTTTGTTGTAGGTTACTAGGGGAATTGATTGTGTTAAAAATTTCCAGAATTTTGATTAACTACGACATTTGTTGTACCGATTTTTGTTGGTATTTATAGCATATAATCTCAAAAGCTTGTTAGATAGATAATTCTAATATAAATCCCAAAAAACATTTGGGAACTTTAGAAAATTAGGGCAAACTTCTCTCGCTTGTATAAGAATTCAGAATATACAATATATCTCTTGGAATGCAAAATTAAGGGGGGTAATTTGCTCTGTGTTCTTAAGAGTCGAATCACCCAAATGTTTAAAAACCTATTCTATTTTATAATAAACATTGAAAATAAAATTTGTTTGAAAATACGATAACTTTGTTAAGAGAGAGATCGTCCATTGGAGAGAGTAGTTTTGGGTAGTCTTTAAGCATAGATCAGATTACTTCTTGAAAAATCTATGAAATGCACTTATTGATAAATTCAATATTTAAGAGTGAAATGTTGCATTCTTTATTTTCACTTTTAAAGAAAAATCTCACTCACTACTTTTTGTACAATGTACATATTTAGAAAATAATTTCTTTTTTTATATTGAGTAGTATTTATTACTGTTTTTTTTCTATTTATTATTATTTTTTGATAAGAATAAAGTAGACTTGCCAATCTCTATATTTATTTTAATTTTGTATATGTAGTATTTATATTAATTTAAAGCGAGACGTTTATAAAAATATGAGAAGCATCATATTTATTTAAAATTATCAGTGAGTTTATTTTAATTTTTTTCTTAATTCAATAAACAATGCTCGCTCGTCCGACCTTATTGATAATAACAATAATACACACTATATAGCGCTATATAGTAGAGCTTAATTTCACACAATGAAATTATGAGATTTACAAATAATATTTTTTTTTCTTTTCATACTCAGTCTGACAACAAGTTTAATGCTTTTAAAATATAATTTTTTCAAAAGTTTAAAAAACTTTTATACATTTTCAATTCACTCTAATTAGTTTTTTTTTTCGTTTTAAAATAATGCAAATAATGACAAAATAGTCGGCTAAATTGTATAGTCATAGTTTACATATTTATTAAAAAAAAAAACATATACACTAATTAATAAATTCAATTTTGTTTAGTAAACTGTTAAAAATTATAGTGCTAATTATTGAAAATTAAAGTTTATTCTAAAATGTCTAATTAGAAATAGTTGTAATGGAAAAACGGAAATAGAGGATGTCACATTTATAAGTTATTTATTTTATTAATATTTTTCAGCAACTTTCTAATACAACAAATCGCAATTTAATGAGTGGTTTTCATCATCAACATTTTGGTGCCGAATATGAACCAGTTATAACATTTGTTGACTCTCCCCCAAATTCTGAAGAGTCTTGGCCGGGTAAGTTTCTGAAAGTCTACGACAGTTATTGTAGAACAAAATACTAATTTAATCAAAATTTTTCGTTATAGACGATCAATCGAAAGATTCGCCAGGTCCACAGATAATTGACGTCCAAACTATATATTCAAATAGTGGATCACGTAAAAGACGAATGGATTGGGATCCTTTGGATATCGCTCAGAGTGAAAGCACTGCTTCTACACAAACTGGCGAGTTACCAGCAAAAATTTCAACACATCAATTATTAGAAAAGGATAAATATAAAAAGGAGCGATTAAGCAGTGGTAAGTTATAAATATAATTCTAAAAAACTGGTGATTTATAACTAAAATAGAATCAGCAGGAACTAACTAAACATACAAAAACTAAAAGTGATCTTCATTGCAAACTCATAGTTGGCTAAAGCAACAACAAAGAGTAATGAAAAACAACAACAATTCGTATGGAGAGATAGATAGATAGATAGATAGATAGATAGAAGATAGATAGATAGAGTAGATAGATAGATAGATAGATAGATAGATAGATAGATAGATAGATAGATAGGTAGATAGATAGATAGATAGATAGATAGATAGGTAGATAGATAGATAGATAGATAGATAGATAGATAGATAGATAGATAGATAGAGTAGATAGATAGATAGATAGATAGATAGATAGATAGATAGATAGATAGATAGATAGATAGATAGATAGATAGATAGATAGATAGATAGATAGATAGATAGATAGATAGATAGATAGATAGATAGATAGATAGATAGATAGATAGATAGATAGATAGATAGATAGATAGATAGATAGATAGATAGGTAGTAGAGATAGATAGATAGATAGATAGATAGATAGATAGATAGATAGATAGATAGATAGATAGATAGGTAGATAGATAGATAGATAGATAGATAGATAGATAGATAGATAGATAGATAGATAGATAGATAGATAGATAGATAGATAGATAGATATAGATAGATAGATAGATAGATAGATAGATAGATAGATAGATAGATAGATAGATAGATAGATAGATAGATAGATAGATAGATAGATAGATAGATAGATAGATAGATAGATAGATAGATAGATAGATAGATAGATAGATAGATAGAGAGATAGATAGATAGATAGATAGGTAGATAGATAGATAGATAGATAGATAGATAGATAGATAGATAGATGATAGATAGATAGATAGATAGATAGATAGATAGATAGATAGATAGATAGATAGATAGATAGATAGATAGATAGATAGATAGATAGATAGATAGATAGATAGAGATAGATAGATAGATAGATAGATAGATAGATAGATAGATAGATAGATAGATAGATAGAGTAGATAGATAGATAGATAGATAGATAGATAGATAGATAGATAGATAGATAGATAGATAGATAGATAGATAGATAGATAGATAGATAGATAGATAGATAGATAGATAGATAGATAGATAGATAGATAGATAGATAGATAGATAGATAGATAGATAGAGATAGATAGATAGATAGATAGATAGATAGATAGATAGATAGATAGATAGATAGATAGATAGATAGATAGATAGATAGATAGATAGATAGATAGATAGATAGATAGATAGATAGATAGATAGATAGATAGATAGATAGATAGATAGAGATAGATAGATAGATAGATAGATAGATAGATAGATAGATAGATAGATAGATAGATAGATAGATAGATAGATAGATAGATAGATAGATAGATAGATAGATATAGATAGATAGATAGATAGATAGAGAATAGATAGATAGATAGATAGATAGATAGATAGATAGATAGATAGATAGATAGATAGATAGATAGATAGATAGATAGATAGATAGATAGATAGATAGATAGATAGATAGAAGATAGATAGATAGATAGATAGATAGATAGATAGATAGATAGATAGATAGATAGATAGATAGATAGATAGATAGATAGATAGATAGATAGATAGATAGATAGATAGATAGATAGATAGATAGATAGATAGATAGATAGATAGATAGATAGATAGATAGATAGATAGATAGATAGATAGATAGATAGATAGATAGATAGATAGATAGATAGATAGATAGATAGATAGATAGATAGATATATAGATAGATAGATAGATAGATAGATAGATAGATAGATAGATAGATAGATAGATAGATAGATAGATAGATAGATAGATAGATAGATAGATAGATAGATAGATAGATAGATAGATAGATAGATAGATAGATAGATAGATAGATAGATAGATAGATAGATAGATAGATAGATAGATAGATAGATAGATAGATAGAAGATGGAAACAAAGTTTATCACTTCCAAGCATTTCTGTTGAAAGAGATGGAATTAATTTACCACTTTTTGCATAATAATTTTTTTGGAATAATTCCCCAATAGTTATCAACACGCAAAAACGTATGGTTACTCGTCTTATGACTAATCTGTTTATTTCTTATAATCAGACATAATAACTTCTCCATAAAGAATAAAATTAACAAAAAACTTGTGGTTTTTATCAATAAAAACAATAGGTAAACAAATTAACCGCAAATTTATTAACCTGTTATTATTTTTTTTTTGTCGCATAAAATATTTAAACAACTGCCTTCAAATACTACACATTCTAAATAAGAAAGAAAGAAAAATATTTTATAAGACTCGTTAGTAGTAGCCCCTTATCGTAAGATGTTTACTTTACTAAAGCGCTTGAATGATAAGCGCCACAAAACAAAAACACAAACTCTCAGTTGATTTAGATTATCTATCTTGAGGGCATTAAACATGGAAAAAACTGAAAGTATTTGCTCTTTAAAAATTGTTTTCTTTTATAAATATTGCAAAAAGAAAACAATATTTCATGCATGAGTTTAGTTCAAGGATTGATTGATTGTCTTATATAAATAATCAATTATTTAATCGAAGATTAGTATGATATTACCTATTCGCATATGAATTTAAAACCAGTATTTTAAAAGGTTTTTAAATGGCTAGAAGCAGGCGCGAAAATGTTTATTCGCAAATGTATGTTAATTATTTAAATCAACAATAAAAATTTATATCATTGATAATTTTTTTTTGCAATATAAAAAATTTTTCATTGCATGTACCGTATCGGTTTTTTGCTTTTTTTTTGGAAAATTTAATGCAACAGTTATGAATTTAAACTGGTTCACTAGACAGCATGGACTATAAATCAGTCTATAGTCTTGACTATATATCAATCTATAGTATGGACTATAGATTAATCTATAGTCTGGACTATAGATCAATCTATAGTCTGGACTATAGATCAATCTATAGTCTGGACTATAGATCAATCTATAGTCTGGACTATAGATCAATCTATAGTCTGGACTATAGATCAATCTATAGTCTGGACTATAGATCAATCTGGACTATAGATTAGTCTATAGTCTGGACTATAGATTAGTCTATAGTCTGGACTATAGATTAGTCTATAGTCTGAACTATAGATCAATCTATAGTCTGAACTATAGATCAATCTATAGTCTGGACTATAGATCTATCTATAATCTGGACTATAGATCTATATATAGTCTGAACTATAGATCAATCTATAGTCTGCACTAAAGATCAATCTATAGTCTGGACTATAGTGCAATCTATAGTCTGGGCTATAGATTAGTCTATAGTCTGAACTATAGATTAGTCCATAGTCTGGACTATAGATTAGTCTATAGTCTGGACTATAGATTAGTCTATAGTCTGGACTATAGATTAGTCTATAGTCTGGACTATAGATTAGTCTATAGTCTGGACTATAGATTAGTCTATAGTCTGGACTATAGATTAGTCTATAGTCTGGACTATAGATTAGTCTATAGTCTGGACTATAGATTAGTCTATAGTCTAGACTATAGATCAATTTATAGTCTGGACTATAGGTTAGTCTACAGTCTGGACTATAGATTAGTCTATAGTCTGGACTATAGATTAGTCTATAGTCTGGACTATAGATTAGTCTATAGTCTGACTATAGATTAGTCCATAGTCTGGACTATAGATCAGTCTATAGTCTGGACTATAGATCAATTGATCTATAGTCCAGACTATATATCAATTTACAGTCTGGACTATAGATTAGTCTATAGACTGTTCTATAGATCAGTCTATAGTCTGGACTATAGATCAGTCTGTAGTCTGGACTGTAGATCAGTCTATTGTCTTGACTAAAGATCAGTCAACAGTCTGGACTATAAATCAACGTATAGTCTGGACTATAGATCAGTCTATAGTCTGGACTATAGATCAGTATATAGTCTGGACTATAGATCAGTATATAGTCTGGACTATAGATCAGTATATAGTCTGGACTATAGATCAGTATATAGCCTGTACGCAATACAGAAATGTTCTATAATCTGGACTATAGAACATTTCTGTATTGCGTATATAAATATGAAATGAATTGGTGAAATATTTTGTTGCCCTTATACCCGAGGTTGAATTTTTGTTGTACAACTAATAAATTTAAAACAATTACATATTAAAAATAATTATCGCGTTTTGTAATTTTTAAAGTTTATTGAACTTTGTCTACATCTCAAGAACTAGATTTTTTTGAAATGGAATGTTTAACAAATGCATACATAGAAAGTTTTTTCCTAATATTTAACTAAACTTATAAATTTATATTGCCTACAATCAGTTCATTAGAAAGTATTTAGGTTTTTTTTATTGAGATTAGAAGTTATCACTTGAAACTAATATAAAAAACCACGAAATACAATTTACTAATAGAAACCACCTCTACACCGAATAATAGGCTGGTGGCTGATCTGTTTCCATAAGGTTTAGAATAAACACATTTCGTAATCAGTTGTTCATATAGAGAATTTTTTTTATTTGTATATAATTTTTTGTTTTGTAAAATTTTCTTTTTTTTTTCGTTTATTATCAATTCTCATGACTTTCAGTCGTTTTGTGATCGCCCTTTCTTAATAAACATAGAGAAATTTTAAATAAATAACAAAATATTGTAATTTTAAATTCATATTTGTTTAAGAATTCAATATTTATTTTAATTAATAATAATTTCTTTATAAAGATCTCTCTGGCGGATGTTTTGAGTGTTTTAAAATGTTTGTCATAATATTAAAACGATAAAATACATATAAATATTTAAATCTAAAGTGTTTCTAAGTTTATTATAATCAAAATGTCTACTGACGCAATTAATTAGCCAAAAAAACAAAAAAAAAATTAACAACAACTACTCTACTATAAACTATAAAATAAGAAAAAAAAAACTCAAGAAATGAACAATTTACTAAACTGTGATAATACAATGAGAAAATATTGCCGCTACCAGAATAGTCAAGTGATGATGATGGGTGGGTATGAGTATGATTATGAATTTGTATTTGTCAAGTGTTTAAAGTAAAGACTTGAAATTAAGAAAATAAAAACAAAATAATATATACACACATACTGCGAAATGATTAACAAAACATAAACGTGAAAATAAAACCATTTGCCTCAATAATAAATTAGAAAGAGATACGAGGGAGGTTGGGCAAATGAGCAAGTGTTTCATTTGAGTTAATCGCTGTGAGAAAATGAACTACAATTGCAAAAAACTTTAACTTAAAACATAATTATAGATTTCTGAAATACAACTTGCAATAGGTAATCGAAAAAATGCCAATGGATATCGAAAAAGTACCAGAAAGTTCCTTTTTATAGATTTTCATTCAATCAGTATGATGCGTGTTTTAATTTTGCGTTTCTAGTTTCAATATTATAAAAGATTAAAAAGTACCTGTTAAAGAAGAAGAATTTTCATTACATCAGGATGCTATATGTCTGATATATGTTTCTCGGTTCAATATTACAGAAAATCCAAAAAGTACCAGTTAAAAAACGAAAAAAGTATCAAAAATACTTTACAACAGTTTTTCATTTCACTCAGAACTCATGTTTAATTTTATGTTTCCAGGTAAAATATTATAGAAATTCAAAAGTACTAATATGCCCCTTTAATAGGTTGTCATTTACTCCGGGCTCTACATGATTCTCTACATAATTTCATGTTTCTAAGTTCAATATTATAGGAAACTCAAAAGGTACCAGTGGTACCAGTCCTTTAATTAACTTAATTTTCAAATTAAGAAACTACTTAATATCAACAGACACCCTGGGGCGTGTTACCTTGATGATCTTTCCCATCTTGGTGTTATTGCAATCCGGGAAAAAGGAGGTGCCTACCAATACCTCTAGTCTGCCGGAAACTATAAACTACACTTTGAGGACACGGCCTTTCCTTGGAATGATTTGACCTTGGGTCGAATCAGGGAGTCTTAAAATCTGGTACCACGGAAACCGGTAGCACATGTTAGAGTTTCGGACTTTGTCTTTTCCCGGTTATGGAGAGGTCCCTTCGGGTGTGGTCTCTAATTCTGAATAAGTTCGGTTGCAGTTGACGAGGGCAGGTGAATGTGGGGGACAAAGCGTTGAATGAGTTGGTGTCAGTGTAGGGTATGTGGCCTCATCTATCCATGTACCTAGAGTGAGTGTTGTCGAATGTTTTTCTGAATGAATATAAATGCCAAGTTGTTATGCAATCTCAAAATGAGCCCAAAGGCCTTCAGGACCGAGTGACGGTGGGATTGGATCTGCAATTAAAAAGGTGAAGAGTGACCTGTGAACATTTACCGCAGGTTGGGTATATTTTGAGAATGTTGTATTCTATACGAGACCAATAGGCTTTAAGTCTCTAGCCAGATCTCAGTTGTGCCAGAACTACTCTTATCTGCGTGGGTAGTATATATTTTTCTTTGTAATAGGTGGAGGGCGACCTCCATATAAAATATTTGATACGATAATCTATTGTGTTTACCGTATCTCTATGAATATCGTTGAGTGCTGCCCTGTACGATTCGTTATCGAGCGGATGATGTATATGATCTGACATGCCTAGAGGGAGACTTCAACTATGTTATATTGAATTGGGGTGATTTCTTCTGGATTTTGTGCTCCTTGGCGGTAAAATCTTCGTTTTCTGAAAGATTCGTATTTCGTTCTACCGATTACGTCTCTAGGTACTATTGCCGACATACTACAAAGGCCATCCCAACTGCGTGCTTGTAAACGGAAGTGATGCTTTTGCATCTCGGAAGTTACGTTATAGGGCCAGAGATTAGATAGCTCTGCATGGACCGGTAGAATAATGTATAAAAATTGCCATCGGCGTGTAAGAAGCACAAAGAGTGGTGAGTCGTCTAACAAACTCACCGTGTTCTTGTAATAGTACCCACCGGAAATAAGGCCAAGTCTTATACACATACACAAACGGAATGGCAAACTTATATATCCTTTTCACGAAGGTGAAGGGTATAATAAGATTATCACGATTGCGGATTAAACTTATGTTAGTGTTATAATGTCTTAAATTTAATCCGTTTAAAGGAGATTCAACAATTTTTTCGGGGATTTTCGGAATTAAAAACTATAGGTATTTTCGTAATCAGTTGGTGTCTAAATTGATGAATTAAAAACTATAGGTATTTTCGTAATCAGTTGGTGTCTAAACTGATGACTTTGAAGCACCGATGTCAAAAGATGAGTACCAGACAATTTTAGTTAAATTGTCAATAGGAAAAAAAGGCCATATGTCGGGATTGATGGTCGTGTTTTGATACGTCTGGATTTCTGGCATAAAAAATACCGATAACATTTCTTTTTTTTGTAAAATAAGAAGGGCTGACATTTGTAGATCGGCCCCTCTACTTTACCGATTAAAAATACATACATATATGAGAAGTTTGATATGTTTAAGTCTCAACACAGTAACTATTATATGAATCCGAAAAAACCCTATTGATAACTAAGTATTTTTTGAACGTCATAGAATGTTTACTAAAATAATAACGTCAACAACTGGCTTTTTTTCTGTAGTATATTGATAATAATTATAATCAATTTCTGTTGAAAAAAAACAGTAATAACAATAATAAAATAAATAACAGTCATATTAAATATTAATTAACTGTCATATGCACTGTAGCGCACTTTAAATTAATAATTAAAAGAGTAAATAAGTTTTAAACTTGATTTTATCATCATGTTTTTTAACCTAAATAAACAATTTTAATTTTCTTTTCAGGTCGTGGCACTTGGGGCGATGATATTGGTTTTGATTTAAATGCGGAATTTAATAGTAATTCCTATTTGAATAAGTAAGTTTAAATTTTGTTATTATATTTTTAATAAATTATTAGAATAACTAAATTTAATAACTGTTATTAATGAGTTACTAAATCATAAGCTTAGAATATCAGAACTTTATTAAGAAAATGCTATAGTCCGATAGGTTTCAAATTCTAAACCAAATAATTGATTTTCAATTCTTTTCTTATACTCTTCTATAATTCAAAGTGAATCCTTTATGACATTTGCATCTGGCTTACCCACCGCCCTTAAGCAAGAACCTCAAACTGATCAATTGAAAATCAATAAAAGTTCATTGAACATTCATCAACAAGATCCGGGTAATTTAAATATTTCAACCAAAAATGATAAGACACTGACAACGGCAGAGTAGCAGTAGCAGTAGCAGCAGCATCAGTAACGGCAGCCGGTGTGGTGGTCATATAGAAACATCAACCGAAAAAGTGAACAAAAATGATTTGATTGACAGTCATCATTGCATTTTGGATCAAAACTCAAATGAAAACAAGGGAAATAATCAAAATAGCAACGATCAGGGTAAGTGAACTTTTTTATAAGAAGATGTTTGAACCATGACAATGCATTTTTTTTAATATCATAAGTTACGTACGTTCTTTCTAGGGTTCTATAGTTGAAACGAAAAGTCGACTTTTCGACTTTTCGACCTTTCGACTTTTTCCATTTTATGAAAAGTCGATTTTTCGACTTTTCGACCTTTTTTAGACTTTTCGACTTTTAGTATTTTATAAATGGTCGACTTTTCGACTTTTTCCGACTTTTCGAGTTTTTTCGACTTTTTCCGACTTTTCGACTTTTTTCGACTTTTCGACTTTTCGACTTTTTCCGACTTTTCGACTTTTTGATTTTTTACGACTTTTTGACTATTTTCGACTATTTTTTTACATTTTTCGAGTTTTTCCGACTATTTTAGAGTTTTTTACCTCTTTTCCACTTTTTTAAAATTTTCGACTCTTTTCGACTTTTCGACTTTTTTCGACTTTTCGACTTTTTCCGACTTTTTTCGACTTTTCGACTTTTTTCGAGTTTCTTCGACTTTTTTCGACTTATCGACTTTTTTCGACTTTTGAACTTTTTTCGACTTTTCGACTTTTTTCGACTTTACGATTTTTTGACTTTTCGACTTTTATTTACAAAGTCGACTTTTTTCATAGACGATAGTCGAGTTATCGACTTTTTTGGAACAAAATAGTCGACTTCGACTTTTCGACTTTTTTCGACAAAAAGACGATTGTTCGATTGTTCGATTATTCGAAAGTCGATTTATAGAACCCTAGTTCTTTCCCACCGATCATATGTCAAATAATTTTATGTCTAAATGTTTAGTGTTGTCTACACGTGCTTATTGTTGTTTTTTTAAAGAAACAAGTGAAATAATGGAAATTTAATTATGTTTATTATTTAAAAATATTTGTATGTAGATATGTATGATTTCCCAAATTGCATTAAGGTGGAGTTTATTGTTGACAACATGTACGTGCAGTTTATTTTGATAATTTTGTTTTTGGTTTGCAAGGTTAATTTTAGTGATGTAAACATAACGATACTTTTGATTATTCGTTATACTTAAGTCAATGAGAAATGGGTACTCATTGAACAAAGAAATAATTTGGCATTTCTTTGTTCATTGACAGCAGCTTACTTAGATCCATATAATTTGGAAGCATCAAATTAATGCTCTCTGTTCTTAGTAAATGTAGAGCAATAATATAGTAGATGTGACACTCTCTCATCTTCCTCATCATTATGACAACTTTTTCAGTAGTTATTGTATTCAAGACCTAGTCTTCTGATATGGCTACCGATGACAGAGCGTCTAGGAAGTTTATGTTCTTTTGACCTGAGAGCATCATATAGAGGCCGGGTAAACCTCGAGGTTTTACAGGTGGTTAGGCTTTCACCACATGATTTCAGTTTAATGCATTTTAAACAAGTTAAAACGTCGATTACTTCATGCTCTAGAAATATGGAGTGTTACAAAAAAAAAAACTATTTGATCTTCACCAAAATTTAGTCCTTTTGGATCTAGCTAAATAGACTCTTTCTTCGTTCCTTGATTGGTCTGAAAAGCCCTGATTTCAGAATAAGATGGACTTTTAGGTTTTAGGTCGTTAACAAAATGTTTAGGTTTTCGGTAGAAAGATCAAGTTATGGTGTGAAATAGAAATGACTCAGTCCAATTGGATCCAGACCTTCTGATTTTCAATTAAAATGGACTGGGAAATACATGATATCATAGAATTTTATCCGTTTGGTGTACAAAACTATTATATATTCTGAGACGTTATTTGATTTTTTGTATTAAAATCGGCGCACATTTTACACTAGGCCCCATTTTACCCATCTTTCAGAAAATGTATTTTTTATAGAAATTTTTTCGTTTTTATAGAAAATTTTTCCAAAATTTGTCTTTTTTATAGAAATTATTCGAATTTTATTTTTATTGAAAATTTTCAAAAATTTTCTTTTTATACAAAATTTGTGTTTTTTTATAAAAATTTTAGGAAATTTGTCTTTTTTGTACAATATTTTTGGAAATTTGTCTTTTTTATACAAATCTTTGCAAAATCTGCCATTTTTATAAAAATTTTTGGAAAATTTGTTTTTTTTATAGAAAATTTGCGAAAATTTGTCTTTTTTATAGAAACTTTTCGAAAATTTGTCTTTTTATAGAGCATTTTCGAAAATATGTCTTTTTTATAGAAATTTTTGGAAAATTTGTCTTTTTTATAGAAATTTTCGAAAATTTGGATTATTTTCGAAAATCTGTCTTTTTTATAGAAAAATTTCGAAAATTTATCTTTTTTTATATAAAATTTTCGTAAAATTATCTTTTTTATAGAAAATTTGTCTTTTTTTATAGATCATTTTGTCTTTTTTAAAGAAAATGTTCTTTTTTATAAAAAAATTTCGAAAATTTTTATTTTTTATAGAAAATTTTAGATAATTTGACTTTTTTTAAGCAAAATTTGTCTTTTTTATAGAAAATTTTTCTTTTTTTATAGAAATTTTTTGAAATTTGTCTTTTTTTTTTTTTTGTAGAAAATTCGTCTTTTTTAAAGAAATTCGTCTTTTTTTAAAGCAAATTTTCGAAAATTTGGCTTTTTTATAGATTTTCGAAAATTTGTCTTATTTATAGAAAATTTGTTGAAAATTTTAAATTTTTTCAAAAATTTGTCTTTTTTAAGAAAATGTTTCTTTTTTTATAGAAAATTTTCGAAAATTTGTCTTTCTCTATAGCAAATTTTCGAAATTGTGTCTTTACAAATAGAAAATTTTCCAAAATTTGTCTTTTTTATAAAAAATTTTCGAAAATTTGACTTTTTTATAGTAATTTATTGAACATGTGTTTTTTATAAAATTTTTTCAAAACTTGTCTTATTTATATATTTTTTTAAAAAAAATTTTCGACAATTTCTCGTTATAAAACTAGCGACAATTTCGTGCAAAAATCAAGGTATTAAAAGTAATTCACCAAAAATAATTTGTTATTAGAAGTTCATCGCACCCTCGAAATCTGAAGTCCCCATAAAAGGTTCTGTTCCGAAAATCTTCAAAATGTTCTATATCGCTTTATGACGTGGTTATATAAGATTAGGCATAGCCTATTGTTAGTTTTGATTCTATTTATATATTTCGGACAATTTTTAGCAATAAATCCCTTCCATATAATTCATTTCAACATTTGTTTTCAGCACGCAACTCTTCTGTGACACATCAGCTTTTAACCGTAGTTGATGCCAGTAAAATTGAGCAAATACCCACAGGACGCGACGCGACTGCAACATCCACAACTTCCAATTGCGATGATTATAAGTAAGTTGTTCTTAAGCATCTTTGAAAGAATATATAGTAAAGCTAACATCCCGATTCTTGTGATTTTTAGATTTCAGTACATATTAGGTGCTGCCACCTCTATTGCCACGAAAAATAATGAAGACACACTAACCTATTTGAATCAGGGACAAAGTTATGAAATAAAACTAAAGAAAATCGGTGACTTATCCTTGTACAGAGATAAAATCTTAAAGGTTTGTACTGGCCTAATAAAGGAAATTTTATTTAAAATTTTTAAATAATTTTATGGCAAAATATTTTAATTTTTTTGTTTCGCTTTCAAAGTATATGTATATTGGTCCATTAACAGTTGTACAATTGTTTTAAATTGATATTAATTAGAAACAATTGCCAAGTAAAGAAAATAATAAAAGTTTTTATACAAACGTTTAAATATGAATAAGTTGCTGTTACTCATCTTAAGGAGGGGTATCAGTGGCAGCTTTCTATGTTTGTTGTTATAAATTTTTAACACATTTCTGTAAATGAGACCTAAAAAAATCGTATTTATATTATGAATCTTTTTATGAACTCATGATGCCGATATACAGTATACATAAATACTTTATATTTTATTGATTAAAGAAAGAGGTCGTTAAATTCAATTGTTTTGTTTGTCTTGTAATTTATTTTATTTCTTTCATAGAGCGTAATTAAAATATGTTTCCACGAACGTCGTCTACAGTATATGGAACGTGAACAGATGCAACAATGGCAGGCCTCACGTCCCGGTGAACGTATTATAGAAGTTGATTTACCCTTATCCTATGGTCTGTGTCACGTTTCACAACTTTTAAATCCAAATTACTTAAATACGGTGGAGATCTTATGGGATCCCTTGAAAGAGGTGGGAGTTTATATTAAAGTCAATTGTATATCTACTGAGTTTACACCGAAAAAACACGGTGGCGAAAAGGGTGTACCATTTAGACTACAAATTGAGACATATGTTGAGAGTTCAAATACTAATAACTTGAATAATAATACTGTGGTGACAGGGAATAAATCTCCTTTAGGGGTACCAGCTGGAAATTCACCCTCACAAGCGGGTAATTTAACGCCAAATAGTTCGGTACTGAGTCTTGGTGTCGAAGCATCCTATCCATGCTGCAGCGGGCCAAAGAAAGGGAAGGGGGGGGGGGAAAAAAGGGAGGAGGAGGGGGGGAGGGAGGAACGAACGAACGAACGAGCGAGAGCGAGAGCGAGCGAGCGAGCGAGGAGCGGCGAGCGAGCGAGCGAGCGAGCGAGCGAGCGAGCGAGCGAGCGAGCGAGCGAGCGAGCGAGCGAGCGAGCGAGCGAGCGAGGAGCGAGCGAGCGAGCGAGAGAGCGAGCGAGCGAGCGAGCGAGCGAGCGAGCGAGCGAGCGAGCGAGCGAGCGAGCGAGCGAGAGCGAGCGAGCGAGCGAGCGAGCGAGCAGCGAGCGAGCGAGCGAGCGAGCGAGAGCGAGCGAGCGAGCGAGCGAGCGAGCGAGCGAGCGAGCGAGCGAGCGAGCGAGCGACGAGCGAGCGAGCGAGCGAGCGAGCGAGCGAGCGAGCGAGCGAGCGAGCGAGCGAGCGAGAGAGCGAGGAGCGAGCGAGCGAGCACGAGCGAGCGAGCGAGCGAGCGAGCGAGCGAGCGAGCGAGCGAGAGCGAGCGAGAGAGCGAGCGAGCGAGCGAGCGAGCGAGCGAGCGAGCGAGCGAGCGCGAGCGAGCGAGCGAGCGAGCGAGCGAGCGAGCGAGCGAGCGAGCGAGCGAGCGAGCGAGCGAGAGCGAGCGAGCGAGCGAGCGAGCGAGCGAGCGAGCGAGCGAGCGAGCGAGCGAGCGAGCGAGCGAGCGAGCGAGCGAGCAGAGCGAGCGAGAGAGCGAGCGAGCGAGAGAGCGAGCGAGCGAGCGAGCGAGCGAGCGAGCGAGCGAGCGAGCGAGCGAGCGAGCGAGCGAGCGAGCGAGCGAGCGAGCGAGCGAGCGAGCGAGCGAGCGAGCGAGCGAGCGAGAGCGAGCGAGCGAGCGAGCGAGCGAGCGAGCGAGCGAGCGAGAGAGCGAGCGAGCGAGCGAGCGAGCGAGCGAGCGAGCGAGCGAGCGAGCGAGCGAGCGAGCGAGCGAGCGAGAGCGAGCGAGCGAGCGAGCGAGCGAGCGAGCGAGCGAGCGAGCGAGCGAGCGAGCGAGCAGCGAGCGAGCGAGCGAGCGAGCGAGAGCGAGCGAGCGAGCGAGCGAGCGAGCGAGCGAGCGAGCGAGCGAGCGAGCGAGCGAGAGAGCGAGCGAGCGAGCGAGCGAGCGAGCGAGCGAGCGAGCGAGCGAGCGAGCGAGCGAGCGAGAGCGAGCGAGAGCGAGCGAGCGAGAGCGGAGCGAGAGCGAGCGAGCGAGCGAGCGAGCGAGCGAGCGAGAGAGCGAGCGAGCGAGCGAGCGAGAGAGCGAGCGAGCGAGCGAGCGAGCGAGCGAGCGAGCGAGCGAGCGAGCGAGCGAGCGAGCGAGCGAGCGAGCGAGCGAGCGAGCGAGCGAGCGAGCGAGCGAGCGAGCGAGCGAGCGAGCGAGCGAGCGAGCGAGCGAGCGAGGAGCGAGCGAGCGAGCAGCGAGCGAGCGAGCGAGCGAGCGAGCGAGCTAGCGAGCGAGCGAGCGAGCGAGCGAGCAGCGAGCGAGCGAGCGAGCGAGCGAGCGAGCGAGCTAGCGAGCGAGGATCTATCGATCGATCTAGATCTATCTATCTATCTATCTATCTATCTATCTATCTATCTATCTATCTATCTATCTATCTATCTATCTATCTATCTATCTATCTATCTATATATCTATCTATCTATCTATCTATCTATCTATCTATCTATCTATCTATCTATCTATCTATCTATCTATCTATCTATCTATCTATCTATCTATCTATCTATATATCTTTGTGTTCCCGACGGAACACAGAAAATTCAGATTTTAGAAAGTTTATTTAAAGAAAACTTTTGATTTCTTTCTTCCCTTTTTCAGGTTTTCAAATTAAAAGGTGCCGATCGTAAACACAAACAAGACAGAGAAAAAATCCAAAAGCGACCACAATCGGAACAAGATAAATTCCAACCCAGCTACGAGTGTACAATTATGACAGACATACCATTGGAATTAATAGCGCCAGCAACAAATACCAATACAAATGGCTGCTTTAGTCCAGAATAGTAAGTATACAAGATTTTTTCTGAATAATTTAATTAATTTAAATATTGTTACATGATATTTAAGATTAAGTGTGACATTTGTAAAAAAAAAACAATGCTGTTAATAATTTCTATTAATTAAATTGTTTTGTATAAATTTTATTGATTTATTAATACTTATTTGATTTTATAAAAATCATTAAGTTTTTCACGTGTTACATGACTTTTACTATAAAAATATTTAAATAATACCGCGTAGTAAATAAAATAGTATTTGTTTATATGTAGTTTATAAGTAGTACTTGTTTTTGTTAATTATTATTAAATTAACTTATAAGTTTAGTTTAGTTAATAGAAAATTTTTTGATTAATTAATGGAAGTTTTTTAATTTAAATAATTTTTTTTTTCAAATAATGCGCATATAAATTTTCTGTCATGTGGATTAGAACAAAATGTTTTTCTTAAATTTGCTAACATTTAAAGAAAGCAGTCATTTCAAGTAATTAGTTCTTTAATTAATATTAATATTATTTTATAAAAAATTATTACTTAATGACATTGATTGTGTTCGGAAGGCAGAATGATGAATCACAATCAAAATTTTATTTTATCAATTTTTCATAACAAAATTGGTTTTAAAATGGTGATAAATTGTTTTACTAAATGTCTATTAAAAAGAATAGACAGATTTTAAAAAACTTGATTTCAAAACAGCACAATACTTACAGCGAAAATGATTACAACAACGTGCTTCAAGCTTAGCAAAATGAATTAACATTTGTTTAACCCCTTAGGTTAGGTTTGATAGGATAATCATATCCGAAAAAATTCACCTAAACCGCTATAGGTCCTGTTCTTATAGCGATATATGAAAGGAATTAACGTCGAATGTTTAGAAGAAACTTTGTTTCCTAAATCTAGTTCCATAAAATTGGACACAGTTCTTCAAATTTTTCCAATCAGTGTTCCTGAGAGATGTAATATCTGGAAAAACATCGGACCCATATTAGGATCTGCATTTCCACGATCTATAAAAAAAAGTTATCGTCTAATGTCCAGAAACTTAGTTTCCTGGACGTATTCATTAGAATTGTTAATCAGTACTCCCAACGGATGTAATATCAAGAATAATATCTAATGTTCAGAAACTTAGTTTCCTGGACGTTATTCCTTAGAATTGTCCAAACAGTAGTCCTGAGGGATGTTATATCGAAAATAACATTGCTCTAAAGATAATTGGATCGAATGTCGATGAAATAACAGAGAAAGTGTTGCAGTGTTTCACGAAAAAAATAATTTTTCTGGACGAGTTATATAGAATTTTCTAATCAGTGTTCATCAACTAATAATGATGAAAGCCTGTCTACTACATAGAAAATATTCCAGAGTTTCCAATCCATGAAAGGAATTAGCCTCCAATGTTTAGGAACTTATTGTTCTGAACGTAGTTTCGTAGAATTTTTAAATCAGAGTTTCTGGGAGAAGGATTTAGTGGTCCTACCAACGTCCCATTATTTCAAGGAATTATGCTTTTAATTCAGTCCTCGTTGCGTCGTATGATTTTGCATTCGTCAGGATATTTTTTCAAGTTCCCTTTCCGACTCTTTCATTGGCTATTATCCCTAGTGGTTTGGTACCCATATGATGTAGAGCAATTGGAGTAAAAACAGATTCCAGCAAAGGTTTGCTCTAATGTTACGCTTGACCACAATATTCAATCTGGAACCATTGTCTTAAGGATCCTGATAGTTTCCGTTTCCGATAAGCGATCGGACACTTCTGGTGTCTGTGTATAACCGGCTTTGATCAATTCGCCTAACGATAAGAGACGTTTAAACACTATACCCTTTTTTGTTTCATACTTAAGATTAAGTATGATGGATATCTCGAAAATCGAATACGCTATGCCAATTTTAAGTAAAATTTAGATTCATTCAATGATATTACAACATTAATCTAATAAAACAGTTAATCCATATGTACGATTACCTTCCGAAATACACATTAAATTTTCGACTATACTTGATGTTGCACCTATAAGATTCTCTCTGTTAGCTATGACTCCTGTATACGAAACCTGGCCATAAATGGGTTAAAATAAATAAATTCTTTAAATTTACTAAGGTGTAAACTTTGATATAAAATATTGTTGACGCTCGCTTAAAGAGTATTATGACAACAATTTACATAAGACCTAAACAAGACTATTTCTAATAAACATAGAAATGTATTTTGAATACCTCCTTTTTCTTACAGTGCACTTGTTGCTAACTTACAGAAGTTAAAAAACTAGTATTGATTGTGGCATTTCGTTAAACGCCCTAGAGTTTATTTACATGATCAACCGGTTTTTTTTTTAGAAAAAGTTACAAGTTGTATGTTTTATTTATTTATCTATAGTATATGTAGTAGATGTATTTTCCCATTTAAAATTGTATATTCGCTGCAATTCTTTAAGAGAGAAGATTTACAGTATTTATATGATATTAATATGTATTTTTAGTAACAACACTAAATCTTAATATCAGTTTTAAACAGACATCTTCACTATGTGGTACATCATACTTTAAAATAAATAAACAACTATTTTCAAACAGAAATCTATACTTAAGAAGACTATTTTAAAATATCCCTTTAAATACTTACTTTTTCCGTAATTTTCTTTAGCATGAAAGTTTGGGCCAAATTCTCCTGTACATATGCCCAAATATGATGGTATAATACCATTTACTAGTGCCTCACCAAATGCCAACGCTAGTCCTATAGCTATAAATAGTGTTTCCTCAACAAATTCAACAAATCTTAAAATAATGGATCCAAACAGTATGGTTAATACACCAAACATGCTCTCGGATATCGATGAATATGTAAGTTTCTTTTTTAAGGATTTCTTATGAAAATTTTATTTGTTATTATCTTTTTTACTTTTAAGAATTCAATAACTATTATGCCTGAATCTACACCGGCACAAGTTACTCACTGGTTAACCTATCATCGTTTAACTTCATACTTATCAACATTTGCCCATTTTTCGGGAGCCGATATTATGAGGTAATTAACAGTATATTTTATACTTACTTACTTACTTACTTACTTACTTACTTACTTCTACTTACTTACTTACTTACTTACTTACTTACTTACTTACTTACTTACTTACTTACTTACTTACTTACTTACTTACTTACTTACTTACTTACTTACTTACTTACTTACTTACTTACTTACTTACTTACTTACTTACTTACTTACTTACTTACTTACTTACTTACTTACTTACTTACTTACTTACTTTACTTACTTACTTACTTACTTACTTACTTACTTACTTTACTTACTTACTTACTTACTTACTTACTTACTTACTTACTTACTTACTTACTTACTTACTTACTTACTTACTTACTTACTTACTTACTTACTTACTTACTTACTTACTTACTTACTTACTTACTTACTTACTTACTTACTTACTTACTTACTTACTTACTTACTTACTTACTTACTTACTTACTTACTTACTTACTTACTTACTTACTTACTTACTTACTTACTTACTTACTTACTTACTTACTTACTTACTTACTTACTTACTTACTTACTTACTTACTTACTTACTTACTTACTTACTTACTTACTTACTTACTTACTTACTTACTTACTTACTTACTTACTACTTACTTACTTACTTACTTACTTACTTACTTACTTACTTACTTACTTACTTACTTACTTACTTTACTTACTTACTTACTTACTTACTTACTTACTTACTTACTTACTTACTTACTTACTTACTTACTTACGTACTTACTTACTTACTTACTTCTTACTTACTTACTTACTTACTTACTTACTTACTTACTTACTTACTTACTGACTTACTTACTTTACTTACTTACTTACTTACTTACTTACTTACTTACTTACTTACTTACTTACTTACTTACTTACTTACTTACTTACTTACTTACTTACTTACTTACTTACTTACTTACTTACTTACTTACTTACTTACTTACTTACTTACTACTTACTTACTTACTTACTTACTTACTATACTTACTTACTTACTTACTTACTTACTTACTTACTTACTTACTTTACTTACTTACTTACTTACTTACTTACTTACTACTTACTTACTTACTTACTTACTTACTTACTTTACTTTACTTCAAAAAATTTTCTTTCTTCTAGAATGTCTAAAGAAGATTTAATTCAAATCTGTGGTCTTGCCGATGGCATACGCATGTTTAATATTTTAAGAGCCAAGTAAGTTCCATCATTTGTATTATATCAAATTTTTATTAAAACAATTTATCATCCTCCCTTTACAGAGCCATAACCCCACGTTTAACTTTCTACGTTAGTTTAGATGGGAATAATTTTAATGCCGTTTATCTTATATCTAATACATCTAAAGAACTATCACAAAAACTTTTTAAACTTCCAGGATTTTATGAAATTGTAGCCAAAAGTTCAGCACATAATGGCGGTGCTGTGCCCGCTACTGGCGGTTGTAACAACACCCTAATGGACAATTCAACACCATTTCATTCTTGGGGCATGCATTCGAAATATTCGGGCAGTGGTTCGAATATCTTCAATGATGTCAATAATAAAAGTTTAATTTATGTTACCGGTCCCGCTGGTATACATGTGGCCGTTACCGATGAAGTTTTGAATAATGAAATACGTGATGGTAGTTTATATGGTCTAGAAGTACAAAATGGAAAAGTTATTATGAAATTAATCAATAAAAATGAAAATTAGTTAGTTGTAAATAATTGTACGTGCAAGAAAAATGCATTTATGTTTTAGAATTTCTTTTTTACGAAAATGACTGTTATAAAAAATCGTACACTGCATTTCGATATTATATAATGAAATTACTTTGCAAACATTTATTTCATAAGAAAAAAAGACAAATTATTTATTTTATTGAAAGAATTTCTGTTAATTATTAATTATTATTCTTTTCTTTTAAAACTTTTTTGAAAAATTATTGCAAGTAGTTCTTTAGATGTAAAAAATTTCCCATTAATGTAAATAAAATTTTTCTTTCTTTTTTTTAATTTTAGGTTTTGTTTAAAGAATTAATTACAAATGTTATAATTTAAAACTTTAGTTTAACAGGGAGCTTGTAAAAAAGAAATTTATTAAATTTCATTAACATATTTATAAGAACTCCTTAATTTTTATATAGAGCTGCAGCGGTAGAATGTTTAAGGAGTTGTAATAAATTCCAATAATTCTCTTAATTCTCATAATATTTAACTTGTGCCCGATCATTTATAATTTTGAGATTTTTCCTTCGTTTAAATTCGAATTATTTTAAGGTTTTGTTTATGTTGAAATATTTTTTCTTATTTAGTTTATAGTTTAATAATATTATGTAATAAAATCTAACTTTTGTAAATTATTTTAAGTATTAGAACAAAAAATATAATAATAAAAATGCAGACCGTATTTAAAAGTACTAAGCAACAACAATGTATTTACAAAGTAAAGAAAATTTTACATCTGTTAACCACTAGCAACGTTTACCAAAAATATGGAATAAGTTACACTAACTTTTTCTAATATATGTATGTAAATGTAAGTAACGTTAAAAATGTTTTTAAAATAATAAAGACAAGGAAAGGCCTGCGAAATGTG